ATTTTCCCCCACCACTCACTTCTCCAGATGCAGCCTTCTGAACTGAAGACTCTACAGCCTGGTGTCTTGCATGAGGCATCCAATGGGACTGAATTATCTAAAGGAAGCCTAAGCTCTCCAAATCTTGTCAGGTGACTTTTTACTCACCTTCTAGCCAGACTTGCCTCTAACATACCACTCTCTGCAGCAAACCTAATCAGCATTTTAGGAAGGAAGCACTTTTGCAAACTGCAACCTAAACTCACATAAAACCCAAATGCCTCCCTAAACTACTCTTTGTAGATTGCTCTAGGAGACATAATGAAGTAAAAATGTTTCTCTAACAGCTGCCTGGAAATAGAGGTAGAGCTCTGTACCCCAGCGATGGACTATTTTTGCAGAGAGGGCATCCTCTTTCCACTGACTTTCTATCCTTTGCTCTTTCCATCTTGTGATGTAAAGTCAAAGAATGACAGCAGAAGCCATGAGCAGCTGGGGCTGCTCTCCAGAAGTCCAGGTGCACTTGACTCCTGTCCATCTCTCTGTCCCTATGGCTTTATCCATGCACAGCCTGGCACTGAATTTCATGTTCGCTGTGGAGTTCATCACTCCATTAAGTCCATATGAGTGACAAGGGCTGCTCTACTGTAAATGTCATTCCAAGGCCCTCCCTCAGTCAGGTATTCTAACTTGTGCCTAAATTTAAACACAGGATGTCCATGCTGAACCCAAGGGACTACTCCCATGCCTGCTGCAAATACCTTGAGGTCAGACGGTTTAGAAGCACAGGCAAGGGAGAAGGAATATTTCCACCCACGCAGGGTTTTGCCTTTGCCCATGGGCCATGTCCCCACAGCATTGACCAGGTCAGAGCCCATAAATGATCATTCTCAGCCATGGTGAAGAGCTTCACATCTCTGGGAATGAGCCCATTAGCGGCTGCAGCTGAACCGGAATCAGGTTTTGATGCTTCAAGCAAGTGTCAATTTAAAACTAATAAATAGAAAATATTAATAAATAGCTGCATAGGCAAAAAGGAGGTTTGGTCCCCAGCCAGGGCAGCTGATACATCTGTGAGATGTTGCTGGCTGTGCAGCCTGGCTTGCCATGGATCTCTCGTGTGACCAGAGCGCAGATGAAGATCATAACAGAGTAGGAGAGTAGTCTTGGCTGAGCTCAACTTTATGCTCTGAAATAAGCTAAATTCAGCTCTGAAACAAGCTAAATTCAGCTCTGAACCCCCCTGAGTAGGGATTACAGAATCTGTTTGTGATCACAAAGCACTACATAATTGTAACTGAACACTTCTTATCTTATTTGCAATGTTAATATGAACTTTAATGAAAAAGAGAAGGAAAAAAATGTTTCTAAGACATTTTGGCCAGCTCTGAAGCAATGCTTTGCATTATCTATCCAGGAAGAATAGCTTCATTAGCACAATAGCTTTTTTTTTTTTTTTAACCTCTTGAAAAATGGAGTGAAGATAGTATTTTATTTTGGGTTTCCAACTGGCTTCATTTTCTCTGTGGGGCTCAGAATTGGGGAGTTTTCTCTGGTCCTTGATGAGGATGAGGCCATGGTACCTTCCTCCCAAATGCAACAGGGAAAGGAGAAAGGAAACGATTTCACTGAAATGTCCCAAATAGGCAGGTCAGGCTAAAGCCAAGGACAAGTGTAGCGATCAGAAAAGACCCAGAGCACATGTTGACAGCACTTCCACACTGAAGAGTTCACAGGGGAGAGGGGAAAGGAAAAGTTACTGTGTTCCAGGATGAACACACCTCCCTGTTCCCCAGCCCTTCCGCTCCTCGATGGCTCCACATGTTTTAGCTCTGCAGTTCAGGATCTTAGGGACCCCATTTTGGTGTAGCGCATGATGCACTGAATAAAGGAAAGGGGCTGGTAGAAGGATGTCCTTCCTCTGACACACAGTCCCCATGGGAGGTTTCCCAGTGCCACCATCAGCCCTACCAACACAGCTGGGTTGTCACCTCCTGAATGGTGCCATTGTTCCTGCCTCCAAAATAAAAGAGACACAGGAGGCGTTTCCACCCAAAGAAAACCAGTTTCCACTGGTGACTTCTCCCCCCTTGCTCGAGAATCCTCCCTCCCTCCCTTTCAGGGCCCCTGTAGCTTTCCTTTGTGCCTCTTCCAGGATGAAAAGAGGTAGTCATTGATTGTATTAATAATTCAGAGCCTAATCTCACAGACGGGTGTTCACGGCCCGTGAGGTGGCAATCTTTCATCTTGAGATCAGGATCAGCCAAATCTTTTAGAGGTCAAGGAAGATAGCTGCAGCATGGAAAATGCCTTCAAAATAATAGGTTTAGGCAACCCTTATGCATGGATGAACACGGCAGATGAAAAGTTTGTGTGTCTCACACTCTCCATTGCCCTGGCATCCTGTGCTGGTGATGCCCACAAACACTTGAAGATGATTTCCATCAGCATCAGTGAGCTGTAGAGGGATCTCTGCCATATAACCCATTGCAAGAGGGCTGGAACTAGATCATCTTTAAGGTCCCTTCCAACCCAAACCATTCTATGATTCTATGACATGTCCCAACTCATCAACGTTCCCCAAGTCACCTGAGCCCTCCTGCTCCTCAGGACAGCCACTTGCCTCCTGATAATGGATCTTCCACTACTGTTCTTCTTCTCCCATGACCAAACTCCTCCTTTAACTGCCTTACTTGTCTTGTCTTCATCTTTCTAGAAGGACAAACTCTATTGACGCTATTTGCTGTGGTTGTTTTGTGGCCAAGCAGGTCCCTGTGCAGGCAGAGGGGCAAATTCACCTCCAGTACAAGTAGGCGAAACTGGTCACAGGCACTAAATTGGCACAGACAAGATAAGGAAAAGAGAAATCTGAATATTCTGGATTTAATTTTCACCTGGCTGTACTTTACACACCAGGACCAAATGTACTCTTGGAGCCTATCTGAAAGGACAACAGTCCATCCTCCATTGAGTCCTTCTCTTCTCCCACGATCCGCAGTTATCTGCACTAATGCCCTGCTGGCTGGATGTTGCTCTCACCCCAAGGGCAAAGCTCACACGGAAGGGTACCCAAGAAGGGCTGCCGTTACACCCACACCTCGGCTCTACACCTCACCAGGTGTTTATGGAGGATATGGGAAGGTCAAAGACATGCACCTTGCACATGGAACTGGAGGTGCCAACTCCCGTGGTGATGCCAAAGATTAACGGCGCGCTGATAAGAACTGGGGGAAGTGGCCAGCGGAGACTTCTGAGAGTTCCCACGGACGCAGCTGTGCTTTGCTGGAGCCTCCCTGCTCCGGGGCTCCTGGTTCCCAACAGGAACAGGCTCAGCACCAGTTTGCTGCCGCCGAGATGCTCTGCCGCTGTTACCAAGGCACCTCAGCTCCCCGTGCATTTGCATTCTTCTGCCTTGTGCTTTGTCTTCTTAGGGAAGCACTTCCACAGCACAACCAAAGCCGCTGTGGTTGCGGTGGCAATGCCCCCCCACAAACGGCGGGGGCACAGTCCCCAAGTGCTCGGATTAGTAACGCTCCAGTGTACAGTGTTTTACAGCCTGGGACTCGCGCCCGACCCACTGTGCACACCTGCAGGAAGGCCTGGGCTTGCCATCACTTCTCCCCCGCTGCTCTTTGTCTGCTGCATTCACTTGGGCTCCTCCGAACAAGCAGTTTACCTTCTCCCAGGCAGGGTTTGTGCGTGGTTTCCTGTCTGTGCAGCATCCCGAACCTGACAGAAGCAGCTCTGTTTCTGCTATAGTGTCCAGACACCACAGTATCCAGAACTGTGGACTGATTTGCAAATAATTATTACGGAAGGAAGCCGTTCCTTCTATAGCTGATAACTTATCTGGTATGCATCAGCCTTTCCCCAGTCTTCTCTCTGTTCTTGCTTTAGCCACTCATCCCCAAACACGTTGTTCCTTTGTCATGACTATACACCCGTTGTGTCCACATTTAAGAAAAAGCCCTTTTTGGTGGCAGGGTTTCTGCAGCAGGACCATTTAGATTTGTTGTGGTTAAATCACATCCATTTTCTAATTTGTACCTAACACACACTCAAATCCCTCCTTAAGCCTGAGCTGTACAGGCACATTTTGTCTTTGCTGCTGACTTAATCAAGCAGCAGCGAGCTGCTATGTGCTCTCTGCAATCTCTGTCTCTTGCACTGGGAAAAAAAAAAAGGAAGGGGGAGAAAGAAACACTTTGCAAAGGGCTGCTATTATCCATGCACTACAGCGACAGCATATTTAGTGTTTGTGGCTCTGGGGCTGCAGTAATTAATTGTGTGTCTGACACTTTGGCTGGCACAGCCTTGCACCCAGAGCTTTCCCATCCCAGCAGGCACCCTGGTACCCATGCATGCCAAAATCAGTCCCCCCAGGCCCCTCTGGAAGACGGGTGCTCACCCCAGGCATGGTGGGGAGGTTGCGGGGGGAGCTGTCCAACTCTAGGCAATGCTGGGAGCTGGGGCAGCTGGGGTGGGGGGCTACACCAAGGGGCTGATAGGGAAGCCTGGAATCTCCATCCCTTCCCCACCTCATGAACACAGCCCTGCTTGGGGTCCTCCTCCCACTCCCAATCCCAGTCCTGGACACAATCCTGTAAAGTCCTCATAAAGATGCTCTCTGGTCCTATACAAGCCCCACTGGCTGGAGAGAGGCTGTCCCCTCAAATCCCCCTTTTCCTTCATTCCCGTGGCAGGTGGAGCATCCCCACCCCTCCGGGAGGAGATGAACGCTGCAAGCCCCCCTCCATCTCCCCCAGCCCCGGCTGCCTGCACAAGGAGAGGAGGTTCTGGGGGTCGGACGGGGGGGTGTTGAAGCGGGGACCCCCCGCCCGCCCTCCCCGGGGCCGGGGCTGCGCCTGCCCTCCCTCCGCCGCTTCTTGCGAGCGACGCTGCTCAGCGTGTGCTGAGGGAAGGAGGGAGGAGGGAGAAGGGAAGGAGGGAGGAGGGAGGGGACCTCCCTATCTGGCTCTATCTTCTCCGCTGCCTCTCACATGCTCCGGGAGGGCGATGCGGCTCCCCGCGTCCCGCTGAGCGAGGCCGCCTGCACCCCGCCGGGGCTGCCCGCAGGGCGGGGGGCTGCCCGCGCCCCCCTCGGCCTCCACACCCCCGCCACCCCCGCTCCGACCCTCGGGGGCTTTTATTATTTTATTTCGTTTGGGTTTTTCTTTATTTAGTTTTTATTTTATTTTATTTTATTTTTGTTTTATTTAACCCTCCTGGAAAAACAAAACAAAACAAACAAAAACAAAAACAAAGCCGCCGCTGCCTGCACCGACCCCCGCGGGGCTGGAGAGGCTGATGCGGCCGCCAAGGTAAGCGGGGCGGGGGGCTGGGGGCCCCCCCGGCCGCACGTCCCCGGCTCCCTGCATGGCCCTTCCTCCTCCGGACCTGTTGAGGCTCCCGGTCCCCGCCTGCCTCCCCCCTCCCCGGCCGGTTTTTTTTTTTTAAGGAACCTCGATTCTTCCCATTTTCCCTGCCCAGCGCTCCCTGCCCGGCTCGGCGCTAGCTGGCGTGCATGCGGTTATTCATTTATCCTCCCTTCTGATGGTTGCCACTAAAGCTGCTCCCTGCTGCGCTAAGTCAATCGAGTAATTCCTTGCAGACCACTGATGAGAACTGAAAACATCCTCCCCGGTATCTCCCCCTTTCCCTTGGATAGCTCTTCCCGGGGATGATCGCGATTATCGAGACCGGAGCGGGGGCACAAAGCTTTCCTTGAACTCCTCTGGTTGCAAGCGCTGGGGGGTCTGCCAGCTCCGAGGGGAAGAAGGTCGGGAGGGTGACAGCTGGACAGATGTGGGATATGGCAGGGATGGTCACATCTGTGGATGGGCAGCTGGCGCGTGGCTGAGCAGGGGGAGAGAGTTTGTTCCTGATGCCCTGAGTCCGTAAATGGCACTAAACCTCATCCAGGAGACGGGGGACAAAATTCAGCCCCCAGCCAGGACAGTTCAGAGGCACCGGCCAGCGCAGCCCCTGTCCGGGCTTACTGCCACTCTGGGACATGCATGTTGCCTTTCCTAAAAATTATATATATTTAAGGAAACCGGGCTGCGTTTGCAAGACAGGTGCTTTTTGTTGTGGTGGTGGTTGCGAGGCAGGAGATGAAAGTTTGGTGTTGTTTTGATGTGATTCTTGATTGCTGCCTGTTGGAGTAATTGCATCGCAATTGCTCAGAGGTAGAATCAATTTCCCCAAATTGAGATTTTAATGGGAGCTCGCAAGCTGCTGTTATGTCATGTGGTTTAAGGCGGCGTTGGATTGCATTTATTTTATAAACTGGATACTTTCGCAGGCGGCGCAGGGATAACAGCACCACCCAGCGGGGCCACAGCCCCGGCCCAGCCCAGTCCCAGCCCAGTTCCCCCCAGTCCCGGCTCAGCTCAGCTCCAGCTCCAGTCCCAGCCTTAGTCCCAGCCCAACCCCAACTCAGCCCAGGCTCAGTTCCAGTCCAGCCCAGCTCATTCCCAGTCCACCGCAGTCCCAGCCCAGCCTTAGTCCCAGCCCAGCCCCAGCCCAAGCCCCGAGCCGGGCACACCCGGGAGGATGCCTGGTGCCACCTCCGAGATGATCCCCCTCCACAAAACTTCCCAGTTTCGTTTGCCAAAGTCCTACAGAAGTGTTGGAAAAGTTGTTTGAGTTTTTCCCCCCTGCTCATAATAAGGAATGTCTCTTTCTCAGATATTCAGGACAAAGTTTTAAATCAGCTGAGGACACTGTCACTTAGTGTTTCATGACCGAGAGGGCAGGAAAGGTTTCCTGTGTTGGGTTGTATTTCTGGCCACTGCTGTCAGGAATTCACAAAAGGGGACTTGGGAAAGGTGATTTGGTTTCACAGAGCTTTTTCCATAGGATCCTTCAAACACCCCTTGCTCAATGGGCTGCAGATGTAGATTTGCAAACACTTGATGCCATCTCCCACCTTTAAACGAGATGGAGGAGATGTCCTTAGCTGACCTGTCAGTCAGAGATGGGGAATTAGAGAGCTATGTTTGCACTTTCTCAATATATCAGGAGCTTTTAAAAGCAGCAGAGAAAGACTGTCCCGTTCCACAGCCTGGCTTCTGTCTCTGCTGATAAACACACAGTTCTCTGCAACTCTTCTGGTGTCCCTGCCCAGGGCAGAGGGGCTGGAACTAGATGATCTTTAAGTCCCTTCCAACCCAAACCATTCTGTGATTCTGAGCATTTTTTGGCAGTTCAGATTTAGCCATCTTTTCTGCTGAGCTAACATTTGGCCATTTGAACTCGGTCTTGGGAACCTCCCAGCCCGTCTCCTATGTGTTTCACAGGGGAGCCTAGATGTGAAGAAGATACACTAAAGAGATATTGCTTGATATTTACCCCAAAGAGAAGACTAGGCCAGGAAGACCAGCTCCCTGCAGAGAACTAAATATACAGATGGTGAATTCCAGCCAGCCCTCCAAACACTGCCGAACAAGGGATGGCTACATGCTCCCATGTGTAGGAGTCAGGCTTTGCAAGCAAGGGAAGGGGAGAGACACGAATGAATGTCACCAGTCAAAAAAAAAAGTTGACTTGATGAACTCTGAAAATATCGCTGCTTGTTTTGCTTTCTGTCATGGGTGACAGCCCATCTTCCCTTCCCCTTGTCCAGCCTGGCTGGTTTTCAGCATTTAGAGGTGATTTTTATGGCTGTGAGCTTGAAGGAGGCATTTTGAGCAGAGAGGGTTGCCCACCACGACTTCAGTGGGGGCTGCTGATAGTCCACAAATCGACAGATGCAAAGATGCAGGTCAACAAAGCATTCTTATATTTTACTTATTGGTGTTACAAAGCTGTATTTTATTCCACCTTCAACCCACTGGCCTCTTTTTACACAGCCAGGTTGGTGAGTCTGTTGTTCACAGGGGCAGCTGTGGGGAGGGGGATTATCTAAACCAGCAAACTCCTCTCTGCACTTTGCTATGCAGGAGTGGGTCAGTCTTCTGAGCCCAGTTCTGTGCCATCACTTCTGCCTTCCCCTTTCAGCTGCTGCCCAAGTTCACTGCAGGGCAGTAAGGAGACCTTGAGAGGACACTTTCCCTGTCAGCTGCTCTACCTGCAAGGCAACTGGTTGGTAGGGAAGGGGGTTTAGATGTGTATTCAGCAGCTTTGAGGTGCACAGCTCAGGGAGAGCATCTGCTTGTTCAGCCAGGGAAACTGTAAAATGATAAAAAAATTGAGTGATGAGTAAAAGGAAGGTCTTTGAAATTAACTGCAGCATTTTCCACTATTGCAGACATCAGAGGTGGCTGTTACTGCATAAAGATGTTGGGGTTTTGTTGGTTCTTGTTCAGAAGTTTTTTTTCTTTAGTAAGGGCACTGTTCAGAGCACAAGTGTTTGGGTTTACCTCCACAAACATTTTTGGATCAGCTGTCAAACTTCTTCAGACAAAAACTTGGGGGTTTCCACTTCAACTTCCTTTCCTCCTCCTTTAAGGAGCAGTTTGCTTTTTGGTGCTTACCCTACACACATATCACTGCAGAACATTTCAGGATTAGCTTTTCGCAGGGGTGATCATGGCTTATCCCAGACAGGCCATGAGATGAATACCTTATCCTGAGGCAGAGCAGGCAAAGGCACATGTGTGGAGATAGTGGTGTGAAAAGTGGTCACGCAGAAAGTTCATGGGAGAGTCAGGAGCAGACAAGGAGCCTTGACATCCATTCCTCTAACTACTAGTTGCAGTCCTCAGAAATACCCATATTTACTGTTTTAGCCATATAATTACAGGTAGTGAATAATTCCATTAGGAAAGCTGTAAGGGGAGCTCTCATCTGCAAACCTTTGGGTGCAAATCAGCCACATCCATTCAGCCCCACTAAATCCCACAGCCACGCACGGTGTGACGCAGGGCAGAGGAAAATAAAGTTCAGGCTGGTGATCTCGGCTGAGTGTCCCATGGGAACTGGGAATCTTCCAGCTCATCCTGAAAAAACCTCGGAGAAGGCTGTGATTCACAAGTCACCCCTCTGCAATGACAGCAAACACGGGGATCAATGTGCAGATGACCGTGGAGGTGCCTGTGCCCTGGGGCTGAGCCGCTGCACGGCCGAGCTCTGCTGTGGTTGCGTTTTAGTGGTGGGTGGTTTCCCACACACTGTTTGCAAAGAGCACTGGGCTCAGTGCTGCCTAAACAGGGAGTCCTGGACGGGATTTAAGAGGGAAAACACAGTTGCTCCATGTTTCCAAGCCTGGATATCCCCATTAAGCAAGGCAGAGACCCGAATTTCACACAGCCTGTGATTCAGCAGGCAATTTAAAGTCCAGGTCTTTGATTGAGCTAATCAGAAAGGCAAAGGTTATTTGAAAAACATAGGAGGGGGAGCAGGATCTCAGAAACGCACCTTATTTGGGGCCTTTTCCTCCCTGAAGTTACGGTTTGGACACATCTGTTGTTTTCTCCAGCGAAATCCGCTGCTTTGATCGGTGCCAAGAACAGCAATCCCATTTGCAATGCATGATGCAACGGAGCAAAATCAAGGAGAAATTTTTACAAACTGGAGCCAGGGGCACCCGACCGTTGCTTTATGGCAGTGCAGTTTTCCCTACACCAAAGGCAGAGTTTCCATCAAGGGTCTTATTTTAAATATGAGGCTTCAAACTGGATTCCAGGCTATCGTTGCAATGTGTCAGCTTGCCCCAAAACGGCAATACCAAAGTGGTGCTTTAGCTCAAACCATCAAAACAGCCTCACAGCAGCTATTTAACAGCTGGGTTTTAAAAGTTCATAATTCAGATTTTTTTTTTTGAGTTAAAAATAAATAGATCATGTTAGATGTCATCAGTGGGGATAACAGCAGAAGTGATATTTTTCATTTTGAAATAAAAGCAAAAGTCACATTGCAAGAGGCGAGGGTGAGAGCAAGAGAAAGGAATTTGGGGTCTGAAACCCCATCCCCTGGACCTCCCCTCCCTTTCCTGGGCTCCCCCTAGCTCACAGACCCTCTCCCTCCTCCCTCCGGGCTCCTTCCAGCCTCCCAGGCCCCTTCCAGCTCCAGCTGCCTACACATCCCATCAGCAGGCATTTCTTCTTGGGTGGTAGGAGCAGCTGGCAGGGTTTGGACATATTTGCCCCTGTTTGACATCCCCCACAAAGAGGTGCTTCGAGTCGGTGTTCCTCCCACACTGCTTCTGCTACAGGTCTGGATCCGGCCTGCCAGCTTTCATCTCCTGCCCAGCTCTGCCCGCTCTGGCAGCTCCTCTGCACACAGAGCTCCTTCTGATTTTAGTGGACACCATCTGACTGCAGCTCTAGGGCCAGCAGGACCAAGACAGATCTCCACTCAGGCAGGAAAGGCCACAGGATTTTTGGATCCCATCTGGGTCCCAGATGGAAAAGCCTCAGTGTTTTAATTCCTGTTGCAGCCTGGATAAAGCCTCAGAGAAGCTCCTCCTTCATTTGGAGGCAGGGGGCTCACACCCCTCACAGAGAAATAGGTGTTAATAGATATCTTTGCTTCTTGGATATTTATTTCCATCTCCTCTTCCTCCTTCCATGGGATATTTGTTGTAGGTGAATTACAGATTCCATCCGAGACAGGGAAGAGATCACAAACTCTTGTTGGAGACTTTAAGCTACTGTCACTCCAAAAATCATCCTTAAGGATGTTTGTGAGGTGGAAACTAAAGAGGTTTCCAAGGACAACTAGAAAAAAAGTCAAGGAGCATCCCAGGCCTACAGCCTATAACAAGTTGCAGGAGAGAAGACCCATGGTCTTACAGAGTTGGAAGAAAGGTTGTGTAAAACAACCAGCCTCCCTTCATTCTTTGTATAAGAAGCCCAAGAGAAAGGAGATGAAACATCGGTGTGGCAAGGGGGCATTCGATCAAAGGAGGGCTAATGATCCAAAACAGGGAAGTTATTAAAGCCTACACGCTCATTCAGAAGTGAAGTTGTCTTAGTTCACTGTGGCTAAAACATCCTTCAAGGGAAATTTTTAAGAGATCCAAGCTAATGCCTTGCTCCTGGCCTAGCCCTCTCGTGGGTGGAGCCGACACCTGAGTTGGTGGGGATTAAGATCCAATCTGCTCACCTCCTCACGCTGTGGCATTGCAGGAGGTGGAAAAGAGCAGGATCTTGAAGCCCAGCAGGCAAATGCCTGTGTGCTCCAAGCTGCTGCTCTGTCCACATGGGTCATGAGCAGGTAGAGTTCTCCTCGGGCTGCTGTCTGCCTGGGGGCAGCCCAAAGGGTCTCTAAGGGGGATTTACAGAGTGAGACTCTCAGGACAGTCCTACCAACACACCTGGTGAGACTTTCCCCCAGCAAACGCCGAACAACCAGTTCTATACGTGGGCTGGTGATGCAGATGAGATTGTGGTGGAGGTCCTGAGAGAGTGTAGGTATATGTTAGTCCACTCCATCAGTCCTTGGCAGGCTAGCAGCTGGATTTGGGGTACCTGACAGTTATCCCCTTATCTAAGGAGTGACAGCCTAATGATAAGGATCTATGAAACTTGCTGTAAGTGAGTCACCTGGCCTTACCTCACCACTGCCAGTGCCAGTGCAGGTGAATGACCTGGATCGGTTGTGAAACACTCACACCTACCATGCTGCCAGGGCTGGGAGGACATGGAGGAGCTCCTTGTGCCGGGGCAGTCCATACCCCAGCAGGCCGGGGTCCTCAGCATTGCTCTCACAATGAATCCCTGCCCCACACCAGCTGCCTGGAGACTCCCTGACTCAGTTTCCCCCTCTGCTGTATGACAGCCCCTTTGCCCCAAATTGATTAATTTTTGGGCAATCCAAAGCGCTCTTGTCAGGCCCATGGGAAAAAGGCAGAGAGGACACAGTGGGTGTTGAGACCCGACGGGATGGGAGGAAGCCCCTCTCCCAAATTGCCACCGAGGTGCGATGCGTGACGGTGGGGAGGAGACGGGGAGACATCAAGAGCCCTTCCCGCAGCCCATCTTGCGTGGGACCACCGCCACTCCCTTCCTACAGGGCACGGGAGAGTTTGATGGCTCCATCCACAGCAGTAACCCCCTTGCCTGCCTCTCGCCGGCTCTTTTTCCCCGCTCCCTCCCTCACTCCCATGGCCGCAGTCGCTCCCGCCCCTTCCCGCAGCATGGCCGGGGAGGCGGGCGCGCTCAGAGGAGGAGGCGCCGAGGAGGATGCAGGCATTGGGAGGCAGCGGGATGATTGATGGTTTGGGCTGGTTTGTAATGGGAGGGGACGGAGAGGAGGAGGAGGAGAAGGAGAAAAAGTCTGTGTAATCTTTCAGTGCGGAGCCCGGAGCTGGGGCCGCCCGTCCCTGCCGCGCTCTGCGGAGCCATGTGGGGCTTTTGATTTCATTTTTCCCCCAGTTCTTTCTTTCGATTGATTTATTTTTCCCCTTTTTTCTCCTCTCTTCCCTTCTCCCCCCTTTTTTTTCCCCCTTTTTAAACTCTTCTTCCAGGGAGAGGATAGTGGTTAAAGCTCGAGCTGGATGGATGGGTATGGGGAGAGGGGCAGGATCCACAGCCCTGGGACTTTTCCAAATCCTCCCTGTCTTTCTCTGCATCTTCCCTTCAGGTAAGAAACAGCCTCCTTATTTTGCAGACTTCTTCCCTGTGTTTCTGGCAGCCCTTGGATCGCCGCCCCCATTCCCCTGTCCGTGGGCCTCTTTCCCTCTCCCTCTCCTCGCAGCAGTTTGCCACATGTTTAAAATAAGCAAGTGGGGCTCAGATTTGGTGCGTGCCCCCCCAATTCCCCTTTCCCCGAGCAGTTGCGGTGGGTGTTTTTCCTTGACCTCATCGTCTTTGTCTCCCCGCTCCTCATCCCACAAGGAAGGATATGGTGGAAATCAAAGCGGCGAAGGCAGCCGGGGGGGGGGTGTTCCTGACAGCGCCAGGTTACCTTGTTCTCCCCTTCCCGGGTGCCGTGAAAGGAAGGGGGACACGGGTGGGAAGGGCGGCACACTTGAGCTCCCCGACGCCAAATTTCTGCCTTGAGAGCACTGGGGTCCCCGCTCGGAGCGCCCCCGGGAAGGGCAGAGCCAGGGAGCGGTTGCGGAGGGGTTCAGGGGGGTCGTTGCTTTGTGCTTTGGGGAAGGTGGGGTGTGCAGGGGGTCGCAGGGCCCCGCGGAAGGGGGAGCGCGGCCCCGGCGCTCACCTGGGCCGGCGGGCGGAGGATGCGCGGGCGCTCCGAGCGGGCGCCCCTTCTCCCCGCAGCTCCTCCCGGGGGTTTGGGGGCTCGGCATCTTTATTTGGTTGGAAATCTCGCCCCGGCTGGGCTGGGAGCTGTTGTGCTGTCCGAGGGCGGGATGGCAACCAAATGGTCCCGCGAGCATCGGCACCCCCGGGCCGGCCGCTCGCACCCGCCGCGGGGCTCGGCCCCCCCTCCAGCCCCAGCCCCGCTGTTTGTATTGTGTCAGAAAAGGGGAGAATTTCAGAATTACAGCTGAAAACGCCATCTGTTTCCAATGAATCCCCCATAGTTTTTCACAATGTTTTTGGCAGATCTCTGCCTGCAAATTCCTTCAAGCCCTGAGTGCTTGTTTTTGTTGGGGGAGGGGAAACCCAGTCCACAGAGGCGGATTTGTTCCTTCCAAAACTCTCCAGTTTCTTTACCTCTTTTTTTTTTTTTTTCATTTGCAAGGGGGGAAAAAAAAAGGAGAGAAAGCAGGAGGGAGAAAGAAAAGCTCTAAGGCTTAAATCTCCTCATCTCTCTTTATTTTAGTTTAGTAAAACTTTCCTTTTACTCTTTTTAATTTATTAATTTTTAAATCGCCTCTGCCTTTCTTTTGCATAACCCTAGGTAAAGCAGTCTTGCACACACATGTAGGAAATAAATAAATAACTACTTTCTTTACGCCCTTCCTCCCCTTTTTGCCCTCTTCGCCCTCTTCCGAAGGCGAAAGGAAAACCTTTCCAGCGCTGGCCCTCTGGACCTCACTTCTCCCATGGGACTTCCCAGCAAGGCTGGAAGCTGAACCCCCTGTTTTTTCTGGAAACTCTGGAGCTGTTCCCATATGTGTTGCTTAACGCCCTTTTCGGAGCGGTTGAGTTGCAAAGCGTCGAGGCTGTGAGATTTACGGTGCAAGAAAGAACTTGATAGGAGATCTGGCTGGCTGCTTTGTTTGATTCTCCCTTCAGCAGTCAAATAAGGTGCAAAGAACTGGCAGAACGAGGCGATCCGGAGCCCGCGGGAGTGGGGCGCAGGCGGAGACGGGGCTCCCCGTGCCCAGGGCTGGGAGCGCGCTGGGGGCTTTTTCGAAAGCTTTTTGGGGTGGGAAGGTAGGGAAAAAGGGGGGATTTATTCCTTGACATATCCTTCGCCCCTTTTTCCCTGCGCTTCCTGGGAATTTGTGGGTTCCCAACGGATTTCCAGCAATGAGGAGGCTTCGCACCCCTCCTGAGAGCCCTGGGTGAGCAGGGCCGCTGGAGGCTGCCCAGGCGGGCGCTCGGCGTGTCAGATCAGTGCCTCGCCGAGTCCTGCCCTATTTATTTATTTGCTTAACCCCCCCTACACTCACACCCCGGGCTGGATTCCCACTTGTGCTGCTCTCACACCGATGGTTTCACCCTGCTGCCTCCTGGGCGGCCCCCACCAGTGAGTGCCCTCGGGCTGGGGGCACTGACGTGGGTCAGGATGACCCTGGGGCAGCTGGGGAAGGAGGTCTGGCCAGAGCAGGCCACTGCTGACAGTTTTCCTGGCAGAAGCCCTCCTTGGAGCTTGTGCCAAGTCCCAGTGTTGGATGTTCACAGGCGCTCTCCCCTTCCAGCTGAGACCCTGATTTCCTGGGGTGCTCGGCTGACCCCCGTCTGTGCATCCCAGTACGGGCTGTGCTGAGTTTTCTTGCAAATTCTTTTGTACCCTTTTGTGCTTCCAAAATCTGGCCCTGGGTGTTTTGCTCCAGGTGCATCAGGTTTTGCTCTCCCCCTCGTGCTAAGCTTTGGCTGTCCCTGTTTGTTTTCAGCTTTGCCACTCCTGCCTCCAAAAAAATTTGGAATTTTCAAGCCTTGGTCCATCCAGGCAATGCAGTAGGTTCTAGATAAGGATCCAACCCTACTGGGAGATGGATGGGATGGGTTGATAAATGGCTTTTGTCTCAGTAGCAGGGAGGTGATCGCAGCATTAAGCTGAAATTGAGATGGGGGCTTAGAGGCTGCCGAGGCAACACCCCCACAGTGCTGTAAAGGGGGAGCCCAACCTGGGGAAGGTAGCAGCAGGGGAGGAGGTGCCAGTGCGGGATGTTGTCAGGGCAGAGAAGAAGGGAGGGATTCAAACGTAAACCTGGAAATATTTTGGCTTCCCTGTTTTGTTGCTTGCTCGGAGCTCATCTGGTACTTGGAACAGTGAGTTCTTTGCCATTGCCAGAAAGGCTTGTTGTGGGGCCGGAAGGAGGCACCTTGTTTTTAAAGGAGATGAGGTGGATACGTTGCTTTTTTCCACAGAAAATCATTAAATTCCTGGCCCTTGGTTACTGGGAACAAGGTGATATTAAGAATGACTGGATTTATCATGGGAGCAGCTGGGGTTTCTTTCTCTGTGGCCTGGACAGCTGTGCCGAGTCGGATGTGCACATGAAAGTGCTCACAGGGCTGGGCAGCCACAAAAACTTCCTGACCTGGGGGCTCTTCTCGGGCTCTGCACCGACCTGCTGTCCCTGGAGAGCCAGTGCGGCCCCAGTGACAATGAGTTTTGTGGTCTCTCTTCTGGCTCCCTAATGGGCACATCCCATGAAGTATTGTAGGCTCTGGCAGGGCAGTGTGTGGCCCAAGTGAGCCCCTCCTCAGCCCGTCAGTCCCTCAGGGGATCCCACAGCCAAGCCCTACTGCTCTCAAGGGATGAATGTTAGTGGGACAGTGAAGAAGGTCAAAGATGAGGGCTTGTGGTCCATTTGGATGAGTGTGATTTGGTTTGATTTGCTTTTCCTCTTGGAGCAGACACCAAACTTGGAGTAAGGGGGAGTGTGGGAACCTAGGACCAAAAAAGCCTCAGGGTCCCAGGTGGTTTGAAGGGGGACGAGGTGAACTCAGGGCTGCTGCAGTCCAGAAGTGATGTGTGCTGGGGTGATAGGGAAGGGTTTTTGGAGAGCATGGGGGATGCTTGGAGGTGCAGCTGTGGTGGGGCAGGTGAAGGGATGCCCTGGCCTTTTTCAGGCTGTCCTGGCAAATCCCATCTTAATCAGGAGTAAACTGTGCAGGCAGGGCCCTGCTTGACCATGCGCAGCATCCGGAGCACAGTTGTTAGAGGAGAGCTCCTAAATGCCTTTAAAAAGCTCTGTAGCCTGCACTTGGCAGCTACTGGGATGAAAAGAAGAGGATATTTATTCCCTTGTCCGTGAGCTCTCAAAATAACAGGGCGTTCGATTGTAGCCTCAAGATTGCTTTGCACTCAAGTGCAGCCCGGCTGAGTAAATCACTGCTCCACCAGCTGAAATTCCTGCAGCAAGGGGGAGAATTGAATTATGGCCAACTGCAAAACCAGATGCCATCCCCTTGATGAAGTCATCGGGCTCTCACTGCGGAGAACAAGCTGGCTCCGACACACACAGCCCTGGTAGGCACAGACTGAACCGCTCTGTCTGACCGTGCTGTGTGGGGTGGCCGGGGGCTCATGTCCCACAGCTGTGGGGACAGCAGGTCCTTCAGAAGGGTGTTGAATCCCACTTTCTGCTGCATGAGCATTCACGGGAGCTTGACCATTCAGTTCCCAGCAAGCGGAGCTATCGCTGACATACAGGGTTTTATGGGTCAGGCAGAGAGCAAGCTTCACTTGAGCCCAAAGAATTTTCTCCTCCCTCGGTTTCCTCTCCTTCCTGGACAGCTGTTGACTTTGGTCCCCAAAGCCCTAGTAATGATCTATGGCGGTTTGGGTTTTGGACAAGCTACCTCTTTCTCTTGCTGTGTGACACACTCCAGCTGGCCCTTTCTGAGATGACAAGGACATGTGGCAGGACATTTTAGGGATGGATCATGACTCTGGGCTTTGCCAGCTCACAGTGATGAGAGTATCACTGTACTGGGGATGGGAATGGGGGAGCAGCAGAACTGGGGGTGTGGATTCAGTTAGAAAGTTACTTTTTCTCTTAAAATTAAAACCTGAGCCCAGGAGGGGCAGCAATCTAATGCATTTAAAAATAAATAAACTTCTGAAGGTCTGTGGCTGTGAAGGATGGACAGATATTGAGGCTTCTGTGGGGCATGAGAGATGGGGAGGGAGTCTGGTTCTGAGTGGGAGCCCAGCCTGCAGGAAAGGATCCACAAGATCCCCTGCATCCCTGGGAGTGGCTCCAGCATCAGTCAGGTGTCCACATGGATTTTTGATGGGCTCATGGGGCCATTGCCATCCAGCCGGGCAGCTGCCACCCCACGCCCTGCACAAAACCAACGCCTCCGATTGAGATGCCGCAATTTTTTGGCAGGCGTTTAATTGTATAAATTTGCCTCATCCAGATTTATGTGCTCCAGGCTTTTCTCCATCTCGTTGTTTTGTATCTCATTTACCTCTGCGTTTGAAGGGTAGAAATTTCACAAGAGCACGGCAGGGATGATTATTCCTAGAGGGAATCCACACCTGTGAGCAGA